CTCAGCCGGTGCGCTGGCAGGGCTGAGCTGCGCCCGGCCAGCCTTGGAGCGTCGGCCTCCCCGATGCCAACAGGGGCCCGCCATGGCACCAAGCACCCCTTCTGCCAGGCGCTCCAAAGCCTCTGCTTCAGACCCAGATTTGTGGAGGACATCATGAACAGCATCTCTTACGGGGAAGAGAGGAGAGTCTTTGGTTTGGAATACAGGTAGTCCTCACTTACCGACAGCAATTTGGGAGCAGCAACTCCATTGCTAAGCGACACGGTCATAAAGTGAAACCTCACATGACCTCGCCCAACCTATGACGGCAGTTCCAGCTGCGGTTGTTCAGCCAATCCCCGTGGGTCGTGACCGCCACTTGCGACTTCCTGCCGGCTTCCCCATTGACTTTGCTTGTTGGAAGTCGGCTGTGAAGGTTGCAGATGGCAATCATGTGACTGCGGGACGCTGCAACCGTTGTAAATGCGCAACAGTTGCCAAGCGCCCAAATTGCAATCGTGTGACTGCAGGGACGCTGTGACAGCTGCAACTTCGAGGACTGGTTGTAAATCTCCTTTTTGAGCACCGTTGTAACTGTGAACCGTTGCTGAACGAGCAGTCGATAAGCAAGAACTACCTCTATGCAGTAATGATCCAGAGACAAAACATAACCCTTTTCCTTCGACAGAGTGACTTTACTCGATATTTTGGCACGCAGAGTTACTTTGCCTAAAATAGTCCCAGGTAAATCCTTCTCGCTGTCACAGAAGTGTGGTGAGATTCCTCAGCCTGGCACCCAGGAGCACTGCACAGTGATTGTCAAACTGTTAGGGCAGAGACCTCAAGAATTTTGCCAAAAAACTGGGGTGGGTCACAGAGCCTGGCACTGCTGTTGAATGTGACGGACAGAGTGGAGCATAATTGGAAAAAAACAGGTAGTTTTGGGATAGATGGAGCATAATCCATCCCTTTGGTCTAAATCCGCTTAGACATCCAAATCAGAGATTTTCTGAACCGGTTCAAACATCCAGATCAAACCGGAGTTCGTTTCCAAATGAATTCAAAAACTGAATTGGACTTTGCAAAACCCAGGGATAC